TGAACATGTCTTAAAATTCAATTATTCTGAGATCGACATACAAGAAATAGATTATTACCCTCATGTGTTCCCATATCGTTTGAATCATATACCAGGATGGTTCACATAATACAATTTGTACAATCTGATATTTGCTGTACGGAAAAAAATAATCACCTTATAGTAGTGAGTGAGTGAGTGAGTATGGTTTTACGCCGCTTTTAGCAATATTCCAGCAATATCACGGCGGGGGACACCAGAAATGGGCTTCACACATTGTACCCATGTCGGGAATCGAACCCGGGTCTTCGGCGTGTCGAGCGAACACCTTAACCACTAGGCTACCCGACCGCCCCTCACCTTATAATACCTATTTACATGTCAGTTATGTTTGGAAACTGCAGACAAACAAAGTGGGTGACATAAATGACTTAAACATCGTTCTAGGCCTGAGCCTATCATTTCTGCTTTAATAACATTTCAATACCAAATGTGACCGACCGTGCTACAGTTATATCTGGATACACAAACTTAGCATATGACCATTAAAAATATTTTGTCTACCAATTCATACACATATAGCCTAAAGCCAAACTAATAGTTTATAATCCAACTGTCATTAAAGTTTTCATATTTGAACGGGGTCGGTGGGATAGTCCAGTGATAGCATTCGTTCGTCACACTGAAGACCCGGGTTCGATTCCCCTCATGGGTACAATGTGTGAAGACCATTTCTGGTGTCCCCCACCGTGATAATGCAAAAAGCGGTGTAAAAACAAACTCACTCACTCACTCATATTTGAATGACTCAGCTGATTAAATACCCACCTCCCAATAAGCTAGCATCTTCTCTTTACAAAGTCCTTACTTTCAGAGACAACAGTAATCCCTGCCTGTACAGTCACAGTACCGTCTTCCTACAACTGATTCAGTGAAACACTGCCCCTGTCACCCAATGGCACAGGGCCCGATGGGGGCCCCGAGGAACCTAGTCTCGGCCAAGCCCCGTCAAGAGGACCAAGAATAGCAGATGCTCTTAGGCTGGCGACTGTTTGCCATAAACAACTCCAGGTGAAAAGGCAGTGTACTGCCTCACAGAACAGTTGACTGGAAAGCAGTATTTCATAGCCCTAGTTACTGTGAAGCTTTGGGAATAATAGATACAGAATGAGGCAAAGCCCTAAGGCATGTAAGGAGAAGCTATTATTGTATCTATAGCATCGCAGAATCACTAAATATAGTTAAACTGAGCCAACAATAACAGGATCTGGAGGATTTCTAGTCATCCTTCAGTTTTCCTCTGTAACCATGGTAATTATGGTCAATATTGCAGCAATCAACACTCACACAATCTTTGTATTTTTCACAAAAATCCTTGTTTTGGATTCATCCCTTGGTAATGGTAACAATCCAAGTATGCTGGTCAATCAATAAATTGCAAGTGATTCCAGGGCATCTTATTGGACAACCATGCAATTTGTTTGGCGTTGTTCCCATCAACCAAAAGAAACATTAGGCCACGCCCACTAACGGACCGCCATTTCTGGATTGGTTAATAATAGTGAGTGAGTATGGTTTTACTGCACTTTCAGCAATACCATGGCGGGGAACACCGGCATGGGCCTCACACTTTGTTCCAAAGGGGGGATCAAACCTGTGTCTTTGGTGTGACGAGCAAACGCTTTAACCACTTGGCTACCCCGCTGCCCCGGTTGATAACAGGACTGGTGGGGTTTCAGTTGCATTATTGCGCTGAACGACATAGCTGATTTTGTATTGTTGACTACAGGTTCTTTTGTGTTAATTAATAAGCAGCCTGTGAAAATGTTATTGTTGACTCTTTAATTTATGAGAAATGACTTGAAATGTTTTTGTGTTTATGGGACCACTGATGACATTCACCATATTCTGAAGACACCTTCAAGAAAACCAAATAATGTCCATTTATTGATGCAAAGTTTTTTGAGGAAATTGAAAATCATGTACCCTCCTTACTTCAGTGGCTGGATTGAAAACTGATACAAAGCTCCTTCAGAAGACATCTTCATTCACTGGATCCAAGTACAAGGAACTCCAACAAATAGTCATTGCAGGCAGATTGCGAAATGGCATTATTTTCTCCAAAGGTGAGCCAACTCTTGTAATCCAAAAAAGATGTAAAACCATACTCACTCACTCACTCACTCACTCGTTAATCCTTCACCCACCACATATAATTCGGTACCATCCTCACACTCTTCAGTCTTGCTTGACAACAACAAGGGCAGATCCAGCTTCCTTAAAAGGGAGGGGTCCAAAATAACAAACTTACCTCCCAGTCAATATTACTGCCTACAACATACTACATTTGATCACACTATTCAGTTTTGATTGACAACAGTATAAGGGCCTATACACAAAACATTTCCATAATAGTACAATAAAGAAGTTGTCATCCATAAATTGTGTCTACTCTGCCATTCGTCAACTTCTAAGAAATGTCTATCAAACAATTTCCTATGAAATACAACCTGGTTGAAACAAAGTAGTCACGGCGAAATTGTGAGAGTACTGATGTTACATTGAAGTAATTAGGATTGAGATAGTGGGGTTTCATTGCTGACGTTGTGACTCCCAAACAAGCAGATCAAATAACGAGTGAGTGAATGAACATATGTCTTAAACTTCAATTTTTCTGAGAACAACATACAGTAAACTACGGTTATAATGAGTGAGTGAGTATGGTTTTACGCCGCTTTTAGCAGTATTCCAGCAATATTACGGCGGGGGACACCAGAAATGGGCTTCACACATTGTACCCATGTCGGGAATCGAACCCGGGTCTTCTGCGTGACAAGCGAACGCTTTAACCACTAGGCTACCCGACCGCCCCACGGTTATAATAAACTCAAAGGGACCGCTAATTTTAGTTTCGTTATAACCGTAGTTCGTTTTAAGCATACATACAGCATAACTACAGCAAATTTTGGGGACAAAAAAGTAGGTTCGTTATATCCGTCAGTTCATTATAAGCGTGTTCGTTATAAACGCAGTTTACTGTACGAGAAATAGATTAATACCCTTGTGTATTCCCATATCGTAAAAATCATACACTAAGATGGCTCACATAATACAATTTTTCTTCCTTATATCTGTTAATTACTGTATGGGGGAAAAAATTGGCTCGTACATGAGTATAAGTAACACAGAATCACTAACATATCGAAACAGCAGACAAACAAAGTGGTTGACATTAATGACTGGAAATCATCTTTCAAGGCTGTGCTTCAGTTACATCTTGATACACAAACATAAGATTTGATCATAAAAACATTTTGTCTACCAATTTATACACACAAAGCTTGAAGCCAAAATAAAAGTTTATGATCCAACTGTCATTTAAGTTTTCATATTTGAGATTATCCTTTCAGCTTTAATGACATTTCAATTCCAAATGTGACCTTCACTGCTTCAGATCCAATAATGAGTGAGTGATGTGGGTTTAATGCTGCTTGAAACAGTATTTCAGGTATTGTCACAATGTGTTACCCTAATGTGTGAGGAAATCCTGAAGTGATGCGTGTCTTAGAGTAAGTGAGTTGTATTTCACACCTTTTTTAGCATTATTCCACCAATATCACAGTGAGGGACACCAGATGTGGGTTTCATACATTGTACTCATGTGGGGAATCGAACCTAGGTATTCAGGTTTACAAGTGAACCCCTTAACCACTTGGCTAACCCACCACCCCTCATGTATCAGAAGTTCCAAGTTGTTTGTTTGTTCTTTAACACCACACTCAGTAATATTCCAGCTATAAGATGGTGGTCAGTACATAATCGAGTCTGGACCAGACAATCCAGTGATTGATTTCATGAGCATCGATCCATGCAATTGGAATACAACGACATGTCCACCCGATCCCGTTAGTCGCCAATTACACCTATCATGGGTTCCTGGAAGACCTTTTCTAACCTGGATCTTCACATTGATGAAACCCAGAACCCGAGAATGGTAGAGCAAAACCAAGGCTCACAAGAAGGGTATATCTGGAACCTATAGCATGAATGCTAAGACAATGGGATCCTGGCAAGTCTAATGGAAGCAACAGTGAGCTGTGAACAAGAATGCCCTGTATCGCCCTGGTAGCCGGGGAATAAATCCAATCTTGTTAAGGTTTCCAACAAATGTAACATTCTTAATGCTGTATCTTCTTAACAGCCTCTTAACACTAAAGGTGACAGGCAGAGAATTTGATCACCCACCCGGAAATAAAAGCTAAGACAGTACCTAAGACAAGAATGAGTAAATAGCATTTTATGCCACACTCAAATATTCAAGCTATATGACACTGGCTGGGCTGGACCAGATATTGTCCTCATAGGTCTGTTCTTAGAAATATTCTAGCAATATTGGCTTTACACATTGTGCTCATGAGGGGATTCAAACCTAGGTCTTTGGCGTGTCAAGTGAACGCCTTAACCACACGTCCATCCCACTGGTCTAAGATGTGAAGTCGTATTATAAACCTACTGGCTGTTTGTGTAACTCCATATGGAGTTTTTGAAATTGTGGTAACACCTCGTAGGAGGTATTACAACGATTGTAACACCTCGCAAGAGGTATTAAAACGATTGTAACACCTCACAGGAAGGCTTACAATCATTGCAAACCCTTGATAGAAGAAACACTACGAACAGCCTACGAGACGCACGTGCAGATTTCGTGCCATTGCGAGACGCACGTGCAGATTTCGCACCGTTGCGAAACCCACATGCTGATGTTTCCGGTTTTCTTGCACCGAGTTCACGACTGCAGGCGATATTTCATCTCCGATACAGGTTATACATTTGAGAGTTTTTATTACAGTTATTTAATTAAAAACGTTGTCTATGCGATGAATCAGTTTATAAGTTGGACAAACCATGTCTCCTCGAGATTACTAGAGATTGTAAACCCTCATAGAAGGGAACGTCCCCGAATCCCTAGAAATCCCTCGGAGACATGGTTTCTCCTACACTTATATAATAAAACTACCTACCACAGTGACTCCATCATTGAGAAGGGACTCCCCGAACACGATAATGTACAGCATCTCATTGACATGAATCTCCTCGAACACTGCCAGCACCGCTACCGGGTCTACGGCTGAGATCAGTGCACTGAACACGAAGCAGTGGAGCATGCTGATTGGCCGCTTGATCCACCCAGCCGCGGAACACCCCCACAATGCAACACCAATGCCCACGGTGTTCCACAGCGTGTTGACGATGGCCAAAAGGAGGATGGTGCCAAGGTTGTTGAAGAAGGCCCTGTTTGGCATGTGGTAGCCTGCATCGTAGATTATAGGAGGCAGGATGAAGAGGAAGAATGTGTTGGCGTTGAGGACGTACTGCGAGGTGGATGCTGCATGGCTGTAATGGAGGGTCACGCCGACACAGATGCCCAGGGTAATGAGAAGACAGCTCTCAGGAAACAGTGAGGACAGACGGTCGTACAGGTGGAACCCTAGAAGAAAAGAACATACACATATACACACAATTAAGGGCAGATAACTCTCAGGCACAGGGAGGAAGGACAGATAACTTTCTTGGAACAGATTGACGCACGTCACCTGGTTTGTTCTATGATGTTTCCATATTTTTAAAAGTGGGTCAGTGACATTCGTTTTGATTGCAGTAAATGTTTCAAAACCAATATTGTTGTTTCTTTTTATTTGATAACAAATTCCATTTATTTTAGCTATAATAACGGTAATGCCATTTTTTAGGGCATTATCATTTGCAGAAGCACTCGGTCTTTTCAACTGCCCTCCTTCATCGGGCAGTTAATTGAAGACCTCGGGCTTCTGCAAATAATAATACCCTGAAAAATAGCGTTACCTTTATATTATTTTGGGGGCATTAAAGAAACAGAGAAACAATCCTATAGCATAAAATTATGATTTTTCTGTTCTTATTCCCGACCAATTATTAATAGATAACGATTACTTTTTCAAACCAATTATCAATCTTAAACTGTGAAATTTTGAAGAAACTGAAATGTCTGATGACGGGAGGAAGGGAGTACAGATTGAACCCCGATAGTGGAGAAGCAATGCATATAACTAGCATTATGGACAGACTACACTCAGAGTCAGAGAGGATCTGTGTTTATAAGGGACAAAAAAAGTCAATAAATAATACAGTGTTGACGTAATACCAACTACATCGATGATGTAATACCGACTACATTGTTGATGTAACACCAACTACATTGTTGACACCATTATACTGACTACAGTGTTGATGCCATTATACAGTCCGTAATACTAACAAATTCATTGATACCATTATACCGTTGGTCGCCTCTTACGATTAGCAGAGTCGCCTCTCACAGCAAGCCTGGGTTGCTGAAGACCTATTCTCACCCGGATCTTCACGGGTCTGATGTACTTTGTAAGGATATTGACATCTAGTGAGTGAGTGAGTGAGTGAGTTTGGTTTTAACGCCGCTTTTAACAATATTTCAGTTATATCACGGCGTGTCAGCTTAATGTGGGAGGAAAGCCCGAAGTGATGCAGGTCTCATACATTTACCACTTCGGTGAAACCCACGAGCACGGGTATGGTGCTGACAAACCTAGAAACATAATCGGGGCCAACCGGGATTCGAACCCACAATCATAGGTTTCTGGTGTGCCCAAGGGATGCAACTCTGCACAGCAAATCGCGGCGCCTTAGACGACTGGGCCATCCGTGCCCCCATATTGACATCTAAGCTGACCTGTCCAAGATTTTAGCTTCTTGACAAAATAGAAAGCATTACTTATTCACTACAGCTTTAAACACAAAGTGATTCATGTCTTATACAAACAATGATGAATTGCTAGGGTCCTACAAGTGTATGGTAGATGGTTGGGTGGGATTGTTCTTGAGTCTGTCTGATTAACTTGAGGTGACTGATAACCAACAAGACAAAGCTCACTGGCATTTGGCACAGACAGGGTTTCACTTTTACACCAACTTACAGATACATGTCAGATGGACAATCCATCAACAAGTTTTGTTTGTGTTGTGTTTAATGCTTAAAGCCACACGCATCAATATCCCACCTATGTCCATGATGACAGCATGTAAATAATCAGGTCAGATTTCCCAGTGATTGATATTGTGAGCCAAGATCCATGCTGCCAGGACACGATGAAATGCCATCTACCAAGTCACTGAGCCTGATACGTTCGTCGCCCCTTATGAGTGAGTGAGTGAGTATGGTTTTACGCCGCTTTTAGCAATATTCCAGCAATATCACGACGGGGCACACCAGAAATGGGCCTCACACATTGTACCCATGTCGGGAATCGAACCTTCGGCGTGTCGAGCGAACGCTTTAACCACCGTAGTAGGTTACCCGACCGCCCCTCGCCCCTTATGACCCGTTGAACATTGGTTGCAGGGGGCCAATTCCAACCCAGTATCTCCACAGGGGAATCAACAGGTATTTCATGACCATAACATGTTTTCAAGATAAATACTATTATGCCATTATGGCAAGATAAACAATGATCCAAATTAATGTTTGTTTGTTTGTATGTTGTTTAACGCCACATTCAGTAATATTCCATCTACGTGATGGCAGTCTGTAAATAATCGAGTCTGGACCAGAAAATCCAGTGACTGGCATCATGAGCATCGATCCACGTAATCGGAATACGACAACATGCATCAACCAAGTCAGCGAACCTGACCACCCGATCCTATTAGTCACCTCTTACGACAAGCATAGTCACATTTTACGGCAAGCATGAGTTGCTGAAAACCTATTCTACCCCAGATCTTCACGGGTCTCCAAATTAATGAGATTTTGCCGCTTTCTATTTGAACCTGTGGTTATCAGTTTTACCAGTAGGGCCATACTTATGTTGACATTGACAACAATAAAACTACCGATATGTTTAAAAAAAAACCCAACCAAACACATCAGTGCCATGCCTGGGAGAGCATAGGTGAATAATACATGACACTGCACATCTTGGTAATGTCAAAAGGTGTAAAACACATTCTGAATTCTAAAACCATTACAAATAAAATATTAATCAATTTCTAGAGTACAAAAATGACATATTAATATCTGTTTTAAATTATTTGCAAATATAAAACAACATCAATGAAACAAAATATTGTTTTACGCCTGAATAATCAATATCATTTCAGATCATGCAAATATCATGAACGGCTACGGTTTAATGCACCTGGGGGTCTGAGTAGGCCCTTCAGCTGTTTATCAAGAAGAATATTTGTATAAAATATACATTTGGTTAATGGAATGTTAGATAATATTGTTCCACCTGATAATTTCATATAACCAAGTCACCGAGACTGACCTCCGGATCCATCAGGTTATTGCCAAATATGACCGGCCTATGTTGCTGGGGACGTATTCAGCCTGGTATCACCATATTAGCATTTGTTATGCAGTATTTCATTGGAGGACAGTTCCTGTACATTTTATGGTAACCAGTGAATGCTGGAACTGCATAGGAGAGCTACGTTGTAACAACCAATATGGCAGTTTCCATAGGCTATAATTATTGAACAACCTGTTCCAAGAATGTCAATAGGCCTGTATGTCTGTTGTGTAATGACAAGAGTGATAGTGTTTAAGAAATGAGTGAGTGAGTGAGTGAGTGAGTGAGTGAGTGAGTGAGTGAGTGAGTGAGTGCAATATTTCTGCAAAAGCTGATCATAGAAGAAACAGTCCACTCCGCTGGAGTCAGATGACAAGCAAGCAGACAAATCACAGAGCCTAACCTTTCTAATCTTTCCTTTGTTTTAGGGATAGTGTCAATAATCATATCAAAACACAAAATAAATGGTCTTCCCTCTATTTCACTCATTTGCATTATCCAAAGTGTGGTGTTGTGTGGCGTGGAGAGGCATGGAGCGGTGCGGTGTGGTGTGGTGTGTCATTCATCAGTGTGTGGTGTGTGTTGGTGTGGTGTGGTGTGTCATTCTCCAGTTTGGTGTGGTGTAGTTTGGTGTGATGTGTCATTCTCGAGTGTGTGTGTGGTGTGGTGTGTCATTTTCCAGGGTGGGTGTGGTGTTATTCTCCAGTGTGTGTGGTGTGGTGCGGTGTTTCATTCTCCAGTGTGGTGTGTCATTCTCCAGGGTGGGTGTGGTGTGGTGCGGTGTGTCATTCTCCAGTGTGTGTGTGGTGTGTCATTCTCCAGGGTGGGTGTGGTGTGGTGTGGTGTGGTGTGTCATTCTCCAGGGTTGGTGTGGTGTGGTGTGGTGTGTCATTCTCCAGGGTGGGTGCAGAGTTTCATTCTCCAGTGTGGTGTGTGCTGTGTGCTGTTATTCTCCAGTGTGTGTGGTGTGGTGTGTCATTCTCCAGGGTGGGTGTGGTGTGGTGTGTCATTCTCCAGGGTGGGTGTGGTGCGGTGTGTCATTCTCCAGGGTGGGTGTGGTGTGGTGTGGTGTGGTGTGTCATTCTCCAGTGTGTGTGTGGTGTGGTGCGGTGTGTCATTCTCCAGTGTGTGTGGTGTGTTGTGTTGTGTAGTGTCATTCTCCAGGGTGGGTGTGGGGTTGTTTTTCATTCTCCAGCGTGTGTGGTGTGGTGTGTCATTCTCCAGTCTGGTGTGGTGTAGTTTGGTGTGATGTGTCATTCTTGAGTGTGTGTGTGGTGTGATGTGTCATTCTTCAGTGTGTGGTGTGTGTTTGGTGTGGTGTGGTGTGGTGTGGTGTGTCATTCTCCAGTGTGTGTGTGTGTGGTGTGGTGTGTCATTCTCAAGTGGTGTGTGTGTGGTGTGGTGTGGTGTGTCATTCTCAAGGGTGGGTGTGATGTGTCATTCTCCAGTGTGTGTGGTGCGGTGTGTCATTCTCCAGGGTGGGTGTGGTGTGGTGTGGTGTGTCATTCTCCAGTGTGTGTGGTGCGGTGTGTCATTCTCCAGTGTGTGTGTGTGTGGTGTGGTGTGTCATTCTCCAGTGGTGTGTGTGTGGTGTGGTGTGGTGTGTCATTCTCAAGGGTGGGTGTGATGTGTCATTCTCCAGTGTGTGTGTGGTGCGGTGTGTCATTCTCCAGTGTGTGTGTGTGTGGTGTGGTGTGTCATTCTCCAGTGGTGTGTGTGTGGTGTGGTGTGGTGTGTCATTCTCAAGGGTGGGTGTGGTGTGTCATTCTCAAGTGGTGTGTGTGTGGTGTGGTGTGGTGTGTCATTCTCAAGGGTGGGTGTGATGTGTCATTCTCCAGTGTGTGTGGTGCGGTGTGTCATTCTCCAGGGTGGGTGTGGTGTAGTGTGGTGTGTCATTCTCCAGTGTGTGTGTGGCGTGGTGCGGTGTGTCATTCTCCAGTGTGTGTGGTGTGTTGTGTTGTGGTGTGTCATTCTCCAGGGTGGGTGTGGGGTTGTTTTTCATTCTCCAGCGTGTGTGGTGTGGTGTGGTGTGGTGTGTCATTCTCCAGTCTGGTGTGGTGTAGTTTGGTGTGATGTTTAATTCTCGAGTGTGTGTGTGGTGTGATGTGTCATTCTCCAGCGTGTATGGTGTGGTGTGGTGTGTCATTCTCCAGTCTGGTGTGGTGTAGTTTGGTGTGATGTTTAATTCTCGAGTGTGTGTGTGGTGTGATGTGTCATTCTCCAGCGTGTATGGTGTGGTGTGGTGTGGTGTGTCATTCTCCAGTCTGGTGTGGTGTAGTTTGGTGTGATGTGTCATATTCGAGTGTGTGTGTGGTGTGGTGTGTCATTCTCCAGGGTGGGTGTGGAGTGGTGCGGTGTGGTGTGTCATTCTCCAGTGTGGTGTGTGTGTGGTGTGATGTGTCATTCTCCAGTGGTGTGTGTGTGGTGTGATGTGTCATTCTCCAGGGTGGGTGTGTGGTGTGGTGCGGTGTGGTGTGTCATTCTCCAGGGTGGGTGTGATGTGTCATTCTCCAGTGTGTGTGGTGTGGTGTGTCATTCTCCAGTGTGGTGTGTGTGTGGTGTGATGTGTCATTCTCCAGTGGTGTGTGTGTGGTCAGGTGCGGTGTGGTGTGTCATTCTCCAGTGTGTGTGGTGTGGTGTGTCATTCTCCAGTGTGGTGTGTGTGTGGTGTGATGTGTCATTCTCCAGTGGTGTGTGTGTGTGTGGTGTGGTGTGGTGTGTCATTCTCCAGGGTGGGTGTGATGTGTCATTCTCCAGTGTGTGTGTGTGTGGTGTGGTGTGTCATTCTCCAGTGTGGTTTGTGTGTGGTGTGATGTGTCATTCTCCAGTGGTGTGTGTGTGGTGTGTCATTCTCCAGTGTGGTGTGTGTGTGGTGTGATGTGTCATTCTCCAGTGTAAGTGTGGTGTGGTGCGGTGCGGTGCAGTGTGTCATTCTCCAGGGTGTGTGTGTGTGGTGTGGTGTGTCATTCTCCAGGGTGGGTGTGGTGTGTTATTCTCGAGTGTGTGTGTGGTGCGATGTTTCATTCTCCAGTGTGTGTGGTGCGGTGTGTCATTCTCCAGTGTGTGTGGTGTGGGGTGTTTCATTCTCCAGGGTGGGTGTGGTGTGGTGTGTCATTCTCCAGTGTGTGTGTTGTGTTGTGTTGTGTTGTGTGGTGTGGTGTGGTGTGGTGTGTCATTCTCCAGTGTGTGTGGTGTGTTATGTTGTGTTGTGAATGTATTGTGTCATTCTCCAGGGTGGGTGAGGGGTTGTTTTTCATTCTCCAGCATGTGTGGTGTGGTGTGGTGTGGTGTGGTGTGGTGTGGTGTGTCATTCGCCAGTGTTTTCCACAATAGTAAGTATTCAAAGAACTATAAGTAAAACAGATTTGTAATCATGGTAATACGCAATGCTAATTTTTATGAAAATATTTCACCTTTCTGAAAAGTCCATACCATATGTGCATACTATCACAGTTCACTTTTTGTTTCTATATTTTGCAATATAATATTTCATACACATTTAATTTATTCCTGAGAAGAGAATACACCACATGACCAGTATTGCCCCCATGTTGGCTCTAATCCAGCTTGTGGTGACATCTGGTTGCTGGGATATATACCGTATATGTATCTGTCCATCACGACAATCATATTGCCTGATGTTTGGCTGATTGTGGGGATGAAGTGCTACAGGGGATTGATTCCTTAGTGGAGAATAACAAAAGAAGTGGCTGTAGTAGTGATATACAGAGAAAATCATGGCCACAATGTGTCTCCACTACATTCACAATGTGACACCTTATCAATAAAATGGCTGGTATTGTGGGCGATATACACAATATTGCCTTGTAGTTACAAAACCAAATCTGTTCACTACAGGCCTGGGTCAGTAGTTATGTCTACATAGTGATACATATATCAGTAGTGATACTTATACTGTAAATGTTGCTAAATGTACAAATAATGTGGTTAAAAGTGCACTATCAGAGTAAAAAACTTACATATAGTATGTCCTATCAGTTCTCAGGGTTTTACTCAGAAATGTACGTCCAGTGCACACAAATGTATAGAATGGTCGCAAAAAAAAATATGTTGCATTCTGAAAGGACACACAATAATATTCATTGTAATAAATTCTTAGCAAGAAATATAAAGGTTCTGTAATTAAAGTTAAAACAAGACTACAAATTTCTTTACAGGACAGGGGTGGAAATAAATATTTTTAGTCCACTAGTCCTTATGACATGTATAATGACAACATATAGCAAAACCCTAAAAAATGGCAAAGTTTTACTGGTTCTTATGAAACCTCAAGTATTGGGCAGTTTGGCAAGGACTACAGGACTAGTGCCAATTTCGAACGCTGTAGGATCTTTATATTTCCTGTCAAGACATTAATTATTGTGGGTTCCGCTAGTTTTGTAAGTCAAGGTAAAACTCTGAGTTTTTCTCTATGAAGGGAAGTCACTTACTGACATTTATTGGGATCAGTCTCAACTCAAGCATACATTGAACACACACACACACACACACACACACACACACACACATTGAAAAGGGAAAAATATATACAAAAAATCTTGCACTATTAATAGAACTGATATTGACAGGTATAGGTGACAATGAAATACAAATTCCACAGAAAGGAACTCTGATAATAGTTGACATTTCTTTATTTGACATCAGTGATTAATGTTTCTAATTCTTTTAGAAGTTGACTCTATTCGTAAACAGGTGTGGGTTAGCCGCCAACATTTATTAATAAATTAACAGAGTTTAAGTATGTGGGTTAGTTGGTTGTGGCGATGCACGGGGTAAACGTGACAGCACGATTAACCAATCACAGGATCTGCTTCATCGATGCACAGCAGCCGAAAAACATTTTCAAACTTACCCATCTTGGCCACGCTCGCCAGTAAGATCCACAAACATATGACATAAGGAATCTCGACATGATTAAAATCCCAATTGACCAAAGGATAGCGTTCCGTTTCGTTCGTTAGATCTTTTTCTTTCTCATCAGCTGGCGCTGCCGTCAAAACTCCAAGCACTGCGGACAAAGCAGAAACACCGAGAGCGACCGCACAGAGTAATTTGGCTTTCGACATAACTCGTTCTCACATACTCTTGTCTAACTCAACCAGTGGACAACCTGCTCTACATGTGATCTTTGACTGCCTCTAAGTTGCGATAACACAGACGATTGTGTCTCCGCGTTAGGTGATGGAACATTTTGTTATCACATGTACGCAAAGCTGTGGCAGCTGACCTCAGGGCAGGTCATTGCGCATGCGTGTGAGCGTAAATCTATTACCAGTAGCAGACGACACACTTTTACAGTTGGCATCACCAAAGATTGATGGTGACGCACGCAATATGCTCCATTATTTTGTTTGGAGAAAAAAAATTTATCATTCATATAATGGATGTTCTGGTGTCTTTGTCTTGGAGCATCAATTTTATTTGTGAAAATGCAAGAAACAAAACAGCGACGCATCAGGCAAAGATAACAGAGTGAGTGAGTTGAATTAACGCCGCTTTGAACAGTAATTCAGTTACATCACAACCTGTCAGCGTGACGTGGGAGGAAACACGAAGAGATGCAGATTTTAAACGGTCACAACTTGGGACAAAACCAATAACGCGCACAAAACATTTTAGAAACTGAAAAGAATCGATAGTTACACACCAAATGTGTAACTCCATACTTGAAAAAAAAACTTGCCACGTTGCAGGTAACAATGAGGGAATGTGCTTATTTTGGATTGATATTTAAAATAACACATTTCCATAGCTACCAACTCACGAATTCACACATTTAGCATCAACATCGTGGGATATTTTGAGCATGCACAGGAATACGCGGCCGTTGATAAGAGAGAAATAAGCAGATGTTTGAACAAATGCAACTTGGGGTATAAATATGCCGAACGATGGCACATGATATACGAGTGTTATATTTGTGTGATATTTAGAGAATAACAAACGAGCTACGAGGAATTATTGGAATATTTGTCCTGAGTGAATAATTTGTGTAAAGCTCGGGACTTTCAGCACTCATTCACGAGGAACATAAATAAGTGAGTGAGTATGGTTTTACATTGTTTTTGCAATATTCCGGCAATATCACGTCGGGGGACACTAGAAATGGCTTCACACATTGTACCCATGTCGGGAATCGAACCCGGGTCTTCGGCGTGCGTGACGAGCGAACGCTTCAACCACTAGGCTACTCGACCGCCCATTAATCTGTTGAGAAAATGAAGAAAAAGGAATTAAGTGTCAACCCTACGGATAAAGAGAGGGAGAGAGAGAGAGAGAGAGAGAGAGAGAGAGAGAGAGAGAGAGAGAGAGAGAGAGCAAGAGAGAGAGAGATCGGGTGGGCAGGCTGATTTTGACTTGGTTGACAGCGTGTCAGCGTGGTCGGCGTTGATCGCTGTTCATGTTATCAGTCACTGGGTTGTCTAATCCTGATTCGATTATTTGGACGCTGGATTAACCTGGAATATTGCGGCGTTTAACGAAAGGCCAATCTTCCACGACACCGTGTTTATTTATGACAAATCATTCAAAATGATACCGAAAACGACTTCCCCGTTTTCTCTGTAAAATAATATTTAATATTCCACGTTGTTTAGACATTAGAGCGAGTTATTGAATTCATTCGCCAGTGCACTTTGTGTTTCGCTTTGTTATCAAGGTAGCGAAGTATACAAACCCCAGCACTGTTATCAGTTTCTACACCAGACCAGTGTTTGACAAGTTGTTTCTTTGTAAACAACACGTTCGACTCGTGTTCCGAGTGTAAGTACTGGCTATAGACGCCATGGTACCACAACACTGTACGCACCCAGTGATAATAATATCAATATAATTTTAAAACAGCTGACAACGGAGGCGGAGCTACCACGTAGCACAATTAGCAAATGCTTACCCTTTGACATCATTACAAATATAGAATAAAATTTTTAAAAATTAAAAGTACTTTATTGTGTTCCTTTCAGTCGTTTGTTATAGTGACATGATCTTGGGTTAATTTACCGGTTGACCCGCCTACCAGTGTCAACATTGTCGTTGATGTGTTGGTTCGATGTTGTTGTTTGGTTGTTACATTTCCTTTCCCCTTTCGCGGACACCTGGTGTCATAACTGATTTTCAGTGGTCCAATTATGTATAAATGGGGCGGTCGGGTAGCCTAGTGGTTAAAGCGTTCGCTCGTCACGCCGAAAACCCGGGTTCGATTCCCGACATGGGTACATTGTGTTAAGCCCATTTCTGGTGTCCCCTGCCGTGATATTGCTGGAATACTGCTAAAAGCGGCGTAAAACCATACTCACTCACTCATGTATAATTTTGACAGCTATTTTTCCCTTTACGCCAAATTGAATTTGTTTCGGTGGATAATCTGGAGTGGTTATTCCCTTGTACTGACAATTTATATTTTGCGAGGATATCTTGGCTTGATCACGCTAATCAAACCGTTTATACTTATTGTTTTATGTTCAGAACGTGGGGAGGATATTTCGTGATATCTCTTTTTTAGATTTGTTGTACTGGCCTGCTTGTGTTTGTGTTTGTGTTATGAGTGCTTAAGAAAAATATAGTACTGCAATATGATTGCTTACATTATAATTTCCCCTAGCTACGTCCCTGGACACTCTGTTGATTACTGCCTTGTTACGGGAATCTGAAGGTAGTTGCCGACACACAAACAACCTGTTGAACACCAGAAGTTTCGAGCTAAAACCAAATGACATATACCCAGTAACCGCCTGTGGGGGCGAAACACGGATCTACAGCCGCAGATGACGTCTTATAAAGTCGTTACGGCATTATCCCAGCTTTTCTCCCCGTATCTCATCAATTTTGTTCAGATCCGATGTTTTTTTTTATCTACAAGCGCTTTGGTTACATATGATGTAGCTAAAAATTGTTTATCACCTTGACGAACATATTGCCCGTGTTTGATAACGTCAAACAACACACCTCTAATTATATCTACCGATCAAGCTGGCCAATGAGAACCGAAGCTGTAAACTGAGTTACGTTGCCGCGTGATTGGACGCTCGTTTATGACAGCTTCAGATTAGGGGAGATCTCTGATGGGGAAGCAATGGCGACAACAGACATCTGACAAGGTGAGGTGAGGTGAGGTGAAATGGGGTTTAACGTCGTGTCCAAGATTATTGCACTTATATAGCGACGTGCATGCACGTGTGTGTGTTTGTGTGGCTGCTTGTACTAGTCCGGACTGATGCCGATTTAAAGTGCTAGCTCACTGAGATACCATGCCGCAATTTTAACATGAATACCCCACTCAAACACAGTATACTGACTCCGAGCCGACCAGTCCTTGTTTTAGCCCCTTAATGCCGAGCGCCAGACAGGGTAACAACAAGTACCATCTTTTAACGTCTTTTGGTATGACGCGGCCGGGGATCGAACCCCGGACCTTCCGCTCTCCGAGCGGACGCTCTACCACTGGACCACGGAGGCGGTCCCAACTGACAAGGACGATGCCTTGTATGTCAATACGTCAGGAAGCTCAATTACTGACAATCGTTGGAATTAAAACAACTGGTGAGGTAATATGGGGTTAACATACGTCAATTAGGATAATTTTCTTTGCGGCTGAGTGAGTATTGTTTTACGCCGCTTTTAGTACATATTCCAGCAAAATCATGGCGGGGGACACCAGAAATGGGCTTCACACATTGTACCCATGTGGGGAATCAAACCAAGGTCTTCGGCGTGACGAGTGAACACTTTAACCATTAGGCTACCCTACCGCCCCTGCGACTGAGCGAATTGTTTAAAGCTTCTTTTAACAGTATTTCGTCGTCTCACAGCGTGCCAACTTGATGGAAGAAAACCCGAAGTGATACAGGTCTAAACCGATTACCACATTGGTGAAACCCACGAGCACGAGTATGGTGCTAACAAACCTAGGAACGAAATCGGGGTGAACCGGGATTCGAACCCACGATCAAGCTTTCTGCAACTCTGCACAGCGAAATCGCAATGGCAAATGAACCACCTGTGTCTAAAACTAGGGAGAAGGAAACTATTTCCCCATTTATCAAAAAAAAAGACAAAAAAAAGACTGCGCATACTATTATTCCCTTAATAATTCAAGGGGCGGTCGGGAAGCCTAGTGGTTAAGCGTTCGCTCGTCACGCCGAAGACCCGGGTTCGATTCCCGACATGGGTACAATGTGTGAAGCCCATTTCTGGTGTCCCCCGCCGTGATATTGCTGGAATATTGCTAAAAGCGGCGTAAAACCATACTCACTCACTCACTCACTTAATAATTCAAAAGTAAAGAAATAGCGAGCAGTGAGTGAGCGAGTATAGTTTTACGCCGCTTTGAGCAATATTCATGTAACATCACGGCGGGGGACACCAGAAATAGGCTTCACACATTGTACTCATGTGGGTATTCGAACCCGGCTCTTCGGCGTGACGAGCGAACGCTTTAACCACGAGGCTACCCCATCGCCCCAGTAAAGAAATAGGCGACCATCTTCCGAGGTATACCGAGGTTGTTGTTGTTTTGTAATTGAAAATTGAAAGAACTGTTTTTAAATTTGAGTATGTTTATTTAACCAACACTCATTCCAGCAACAGTTTGTAAAATGTCATATGTGGATGGGTAATTTAGTGTAAAATAAATTGGGTCAGTGAAGACCGGGGTACGAAATGAATTTGCAACCACATGAACCCTACCATGTTTGACATGTTTGCTTTTGTTTGTTTGTTGTTTGACGCCGCACTCAGCAATATTCCAGCTATATAACGGCGGTCTGTCTGAACCAGACAATCCAGTGATTGATAAAATGAGCATCGACCCACGCAATTGGGATATGATGACTCATTGTCCCCTCATTTATTGGAGATAATATTGCTAACTTAATATATTTACAATTGAAAATTAAACTTATGACAAAGTAAACCTTGAGGTAGTTTCTTTGCTCATCAGTTTATGAAAGAATCGGGTGGTCTTTAACTTCTTGTGAGTAGTATATATCTAAGCATATTATTTTCATGATACGTGGTATAGTCACGTGAGACTACTCATTGTAATAAAGGATCGGGTTCAATTCAGTTGGGATAGGTCCCCAGCATCTTCCCGAGGCAAGGGAGTTAAATGACTTTAAAAGTCCAGTTTCCACGGACTTCCAAAGGAAGTAGGCCCCAGCAATCTATGCTGGTCATAGAGGGGGCTTGGGTCGGGTGGCCGGGTTCATTGACTTGGCTGATTGCGT